CTTGTTCTTCAAGACATACTGTGGATATGCTAACGGTCAGACCTTAGTCCAATTTGTCAGATGTATCATCCAGTAGCACATATAAAAGGTTTAGTTCTTATCTTAAATTACCCACTTTCGTCGTGCATGCTAAGTAGTTACTAGAACACCCATATGACAAATTTAAGATATACAGTTCGAATCCCAGCCGGGGCAAAGTTGGTTTTTCATGTTTTCTCATCCAAAATGTTTAATGGTTTGTATAAATCGGCACCCGAACTAAAATGTAGTAGACGATAAGTTTTTTCTGAAGAAGATACGAACTTTCTAAACTAGAACAAAAAATTTTAAGGTTTTCTGTACAGCCGCAAATATTCTTCTTTTTACGCTGTACAGCCGATTTCCGGCGATGGCTGTCTCAGTAAGCTCCCGCCATCTTGATCCATCTATCGCGACAGTCCTCCAACTATTAACACCAACGTTTTTTAACCACTTTTCCACATTGTCTAGCTACCTCGTCCGTAGCCTTTCTCTCCTTCTCTTTCCTTCTGGCTTTTGGAATGCCTTTCTTCACTGGATTTTCATCTCCATATTTGTATATGTATATGACTTAGTTATCTTAGTTGAGAGGCTTTTAATAACTTTTATTATATTTGGTTCTCTAAAATTTCTCTAAATTCAGAATTATATCTTATTCTCCACACTCCATTTTCCGTTACTGCTCCAAAACTTCTTCTCAAAATTTTCGTTCAAATGTCATTATTCTCTCCTTATCTGTTTTATTCATTTTCTAGCACTCACTTCCATGCAACACTATAAGTGTTACTAAGGTCTTGTACAACTGATTATTAGTATTGCTCCTTACGTGTTTTGGTTTAAACTGGTTCGGTAATCTATAATAGTTTCTGTTAGCCATGTTGATTTGGATCTTGATTTCAGTAGTTGTACCATTATTATCATTTATCATTACACCCAAATACTTAAATTTTTCAACCTCCTCAAAAACATAGTCATTTATTTTCAGCGCTATCAGGTTATGTCTTCTATTTGTAATTGGTCATGAACTTAGTTTTTTCTTCATTGACCGTAGAATGAATATTTTTTGCTGCCAACTCGAGAGCACAAAAAGTCTCAACTGTCACGATTTCAAAGCCATCAGTAAAGGCCAACAATTGCACAAATTTTATGAGCATAGTCTTTGGTGCTTGTATGCCCGAGTCTTATTGCTTTTTTTAGAGCGATAATACCTGAGTTTCAAAATACCTAGCTCGTATAACTCGCCTTGTCTTAAGAAATGAGGGTCTCAGAATGGCGTACCTGAAGTAGGATCATCTTTACTCACATTTTAAATTTTCCTGGACGTTTCGTGTTCTAAATCATTTTTTAAACAATTAGATATGATGATGATGTGGTAAGTAAATCTGACAAACGAGAAAGTAAATCTGCAGGGTACTGGCAAAACGGAAATTTGAGTGTTTTATTTTAAGTATTTATTGCTAACTCCCTTTATCTTCATAATACAGAAAGAACGATCTGATTAAGGAACTAAAGATCTTGTTCTTCAAGACACACTGTGGATATGCAAACGATCAGACCTTAGTCCAATTTGTCAGATGTATCATCCAATAGCACATATAAAGGGTTTAGTTCTTATCTTAAATTACCCACATCCACAGTTCGAATCCCAGCCGGGACAAAAATGGATTTTCATGTTTTCTCATCCAAAATGTTTAATGGTCTGTATACATCGACACCCGAACTAAAATGCGATAGACGATAATTTGCCACTACCCAGTACCTCGTACCTCTCCCCAGTTACCTTTTAAGTGAGAGGAATATGAAAAATTATTGCATTTGCCCTGCGAAGTCTTATTCCGTAAATGCTATCACATCCAGCTGGCAGCTGGAAGATGCGAGGTTCAAATCTTGGCCCCGTGGATTTAACTGGTTTTCTGTTTTACCCGAATTCAAAATCTCTACCATATTTTTACAGCTTTAAAGACAAAATAAAGTTCATAACACATTTTAGTTATTGAAACCTAACTCCCTTGTTGTACTTGAAACAGCAGATCATCGCATACATAGCGTTAAGTTATTTGGATCATTTATATATTTTCTTAATATAATTACGCATTTTCTGTTATAACGTACTTACCCTGTAGTTGTAAATAACTAGATAAAGCAGAATGTAATTTCATTAGATGCATATGCAATAATTAAGACGCGGGATGTAACAACACAATGTACATTACTGGGATGATGAAGCGCTAATTTGTATCCTCAATAGGCACCCTACCGCGGCGCAATGCTGCGTGTTAGCTTAACTGTAAAACAAACTGGAATTTTCAAATTATGATCGGAATTAAAATTTGATAGTCAATATGTAAATTTTTGTTTGAATTTAACGCTCAGAAATGCAACCGAACTTTAAAAATTTGTAAAATTTGATAGCTTGACCTCGCTTATTCCAGCATTACAATAAAAGTTTTCTTATCGGACGCTTAAATTGTTTTGCTTAAATAAATAGGGTACGTTCTTAAATCTATATTTTTACTTGTATTAAAACGAAATTTATATTTTATCTTTAGGAATACAACTGTTTAAATATTTTAATTTAGTGTACTAATTTATATGCATTAAATTTAATATATCTTGATATATATTAAATTAGTAAAATAGTTATTAAAGTACTTTAATTGTTTAATAATTTTAAATATTATCTATCTTGCATTAGTTACCATGCAAAAAATAAGCATAAAAAGTGTTTAAAACGTTTGTTGGACTGAATTTGTGAATGGTAAGAGAATTCTAATTGTATTTTTGCGTTAGATACGTTAAGTAAATTTCATGTACCAAAAACTGAGTTTACCAGAGCAATTTATCTCAGCCAATAAACTTGTCAGACACTTTCATTTCATTTCTATCGGGTTCAGTATTGACCCCCTTGAGGTTGATGAAATTTTAAAGGGAGTCAATGATGATCAAAGGATCAGTTAAGAGTCGATCGCCGAATATGCACCGGCAATTGATCGGCATAATCAAGATCTTATTGATTATAAAAATACATTCATAAAATTGTCGATTATTTGTTTATTGACAGCTTTATCCTACAAATAACTCAAATATTATTCAAAATATATTGTTATACTAAGTTTTGGAATTTTAAAGTCATCCGAGAGAAATACCCCAAAATTAAAGTTGTTACCTTTGATGACGTTTTCCTCTTCTACCCAGTGAAAGCAGGATTTAGTCAATAACTTATTACGGAAAACAAGAAACAGGTTGCATATTTCTGAACAAGCCGATTTAATAATTAATTTAAGCTATTATATGCCAATTATTAAAAAAAATCCACCACTACACCAAGGACAGCCATGACAGTAATTAAATTCGAACTTTGGGTGCGATAGAATCTGCGATTTTGTGTCTGACAACTTTTTTATATTTGTAAATCAAAAATAATAACAATAGTAATAGTACAAAAAATAAATGTAAGGAGGTTAATGAAAAGAAACCGTTCTTTTAAATAGAGTCGATGGAAAAAAAAGGTTGAGAATCCCTATACTAAACAAACGCGATCAACATTTCACTTAATCTGATTTCAGTTGAATAGAAAATAGAGCATAAGATTTGATTTAGGTTAAAAAGCAAATTCTTTGTTTAATTTTAGTGCAATAGAAATAAAAACAAGATTATGTATTAATTTTAGGATGTATTTTATTAAATATATAAATTAGAAAAAAATAAAATCCGGTTCATTATTTTATTAGTCCAAAGAGGCTTTGTTCCTGAGGGACTATTTTCTTTTTACGATTTCGAGTCGAATCACTCAATGTCCGTTTCACTTTTCAAACTGTTGCCACCAAATATTATTGCCCTATATTATATTTGAAGAAATTAAATAATGAATAATCTGCATAAGTGTATGCATGTTTCTAGCATTGTGATAAAACAATGATACATAGGGCCATCGAATTTTGAATGATGTAATCCTACTGCGAATATGGGCAACTGGAAGTCCAAATTTGAAATTTGGAATTTGTTTTATCATCGATTTCATATTTTGTAAAACTTTAACGAATTTTTGACTAACAAACTCAAGGACTTCAAAGCGACAATGGTAACGTTGTACAGAAAAAACATTTTTGTCTCCAGCGCGCCAGACTGCACATTGGAAATTAAGATATGTTCAAATTAAAATTATTTTTCGATATTGCTCTTGAATTGAAGTTTATGGTTTAAGTGCGAAGAATATTTATAAATAAAGTTAACACACAAAATGTTAAAAAAAGCCACTTTGGACGTAACTTAAAATCTGAAACCTTTCAGTTTTTTTATTTTAAATTTTAAACAGTATTTATTTTAATAGAAATAAGAATTTTTTTACATTTATAACCTTCGTTGTAATGAAACAAGAAACACAGGCATAAAAAGGATCTTAATTTTTATTAAAAATCATTTGAAATAAAAAAAAAACCCAATAATTTAACTCTTAGTTGACAGCGGTCCTAGTTAGTGCAGATATTTGGAGCTCCATTTGCAATTTTTTTAGTCTTTAAAAAAGAAAAATTTATGGTTTCCACTTGAAAAAAATTTTAAAAATTGAAAGTTACGAAACAGGTTCATTTATAATAAGTAATAAAACATGTTACTTTTCCACGGAAACAAACTGTTTTAAAAAAATCATTTGTATTCGAAAAAAAGTGAATAATTATCACGCAAAATTGGAAATATATGTAATTGAAATAACCTTTTTGCAAATTAAGAACATTAAATATGCATTACAATCTCGCTCACTACCAAAATTCTAAAATCACATTCCTAATTTACATATGCAGAGTTTCATTCAACAGAAAAGATTTATAACATAAAACATTAGCAAATTCTCAATTGACGACACATCAGAAAGTTATTAAACAAGTTGTGTCATAAAAGATAAAAGTTTTTGCTCTAAGTTTTATTCTTGGCGCAACTGACTTATTTTTATATGCAAAAAAGAAAAGAAGTTAAAAAGTACTTACTCAGCTGCTAAATATTGGCTGTAAATTTTTAAGAAATGAAAAATTTCAATCCTTAACTAAAGACATACATATTCGTGCCATTGACACCTTCAAGCTGACCATTAGAGAATATATACAACAAGTAACCAGACTATCTCTGCTTCGACGTCTCAGCTACGAGAGAAACGCTCTTCTCACGAAAGAGCAGCTGAAATACTATCCATATCGATTAATCGAAGCGCTATTATCGATGCAGCTCCTCTCACAAACTGAATAGCCAGTATTAATACTGGAAACAGAAGGCGATTTGGATGGGACTTATATATACATATTTTTTGTAAGGATTATTTAGGCTTAAATTAGACACGAAACTTAACTTGATTAGCTTAATGGAATCGTAATCGCTGAATATATATTTCTTAGCCTCAGTCGAAGAAAAATTTAAATTCCGCCTTGATACAAATATGTCGTGCAAGTTTGACTGAATAGCTTATGTTTTTTAATGCATATGTCAGTGCACGCTATGAAACATTGCATAATCCAGTTGAAACAGGTTATATGTATATACATAAATGTAAGAAAAATTGTGATGTATTTGTTTCGTTTTTGGAATATCTCCGATATATTCATATGTCAACATTTGCCTTTCAAATGCATGTGAAGAATTAAAAAATGTCGCTATTTCTGCCATTAACTTGTTTATTAAGGAACATATATTTGCATTATGTATGTATACACAAGCTGAAAAATTAAGTATAAACGTTAGATTAAAATGTAAATTTAGAAAAGGAAAAGACATTAAAAAAATAATAAAATATGCCTTCGAAAAGTAGATTTTTTTAACTGCTTTTATGCCACATTTATTTTACTTAAGGAGAACAGTAAATAAAAGTGAATATGAGAAACATTCGTGGTAAATAAAGAAAGAAAGTAAGAAAATAAAATCTGAAAGGATTCAGATTTTAACGTTGCACCAAGGGTCTTTTATATTCTTGCTGAGCATCACAGGTTGCCAATCGGCTCTTAAACTCACTCCTGCCAACACTTTTTTTTTTTTTTGACTTTTTGGCTTTATTGTTAGGCGTAGCTTTTTTTGTACTTCAGCAGCTTATAATTCAATAGCAAAATTAACAGCAGCAAGGCATCATATGTTTAGAATTTCTGATACAGTGTCAACTACTGGCATACAGCATTTTCTCAGTTTATTATATCCCTATTCAATTTTTCTTATTAAGATGACTTACAAAACTTTTTATGTCTTTTTATCATTAACTTTCAACAGTATTTATTAAATATCTCGGTCTTTGCATTTACGCAGCATAAAATACAAAGCAAAATCACAAAATATTTGAAAACGGCGTATCTTTAGAATTCCCGATATAGTGTTAAGTTTTGCCATGCACTTTTTTTTTATACTCCCTATATTACTTCTTTAAAAAAAAGCCACTTGGGCGACAGCCACTTAAGAGAGTTATCATAAAAAAGAAAATATTTATTCGGTATTTCCTCCCTCCTTCCACCATGGCTTCTTGGTGTAACGGTACCATACTCGGGGCGTATTCGAGAGGTCCAGGTTCCAGTCCTTGCGAGGGCATTATGCATTTTTCATGTTTCCTGCTTCAAAAAACGAATGACTCACACTGGCGCCTGAACTAAAAAGCGCCTGAACTAAAATAATTCGCTACCGCCACGATTTGGTGATTGGGTCCCCTAATCCCCAGTCGAGCTTTAAAAGTTGGAGTATATAAGGTATTTTCTCTTTCCTTTCTTCGTGGTGTTTAGTTTGTTAGTTTGTTATTGAGTAACCTTCCAGATTAAATTTGAAATTTAAAGATCTTGGGCTTTCATGACAATGGAAACAATCTGGAGCGTAGAAGTCAAAAGTATTTGACTTCCGGTAGTGACAACACACTGTTTTTAAATAATTGAGTTAGTTAATAAAAACTGAAAAATAAATAGCTCCCATTTTCTTCGAAAGGCAACAGTCTTGTGCATTGGAGAAAATATGTTTCATTTCAAACAATATTGCCACTGCCCGCTTTCAAATCGCTAAGTTTAATAATCAAAAATTCATTATAAATTTATGCAAAATACGGAATAAATCAACAAAAATTCATATTTCAAAATTCGGGCTTCGGGGTGCACCTATTCTGGTGGAGGTCTACGTCAACTCAAAATTTGGTGGCTCTAAGTTCCGTTTTTTTCAGTAAAGTGAGGAACATACATAAGTCTGTAGGTATGTACATACCTACAGACTTTTCATAATTTAATATCTTTAAAAATAATACGCGGCGATAACATTTGTGGCAATAATTTGAAAAGTGATTCGGACAAAAAGAGCATTTCGAGACTAATATCACCTCTAGTGTTAAAAAATGCTGTCTACAATTTGATACAAAGATGACTGGATAAGAACAGTAGATTTTGATTGGATACAAAAATAACTGAAAGATTCTAATTTTACTAACAGCAATAATAAATAAAAATAAAATAATAAATTCTAAATCAGATCCTGTATTTACTCTGACTTCAACAGAATTCTAAACAGAGTCTAAATATAGTAAAATTCCTGATGAACTGATAGCAGATTAACCGCATGTTACATTTAAAAAACAGCTTGGTTTTGCTAAGTTTGTTAGCAGCAGAACAATGAAAAATTATAACGCAAATTAACAGCAAAAAAATACAAAAAGAGAAAGAAAAAGGCGCAGAATAACAGCAGGATACGGATGCGGATTAAGAAGTTGCTTATGTGGCCCCAGAAGGAGCCTTAACAAGCTACATAAGAAAATTAAGCCACTGAGGGCACATGACTTTGACAAGCTGCGAAACTGAAAACGTGAAACTGCGAAAACGGTCAAGAAAAGGAGATAAATGTTGGAAGACCATTGTCTCCTGTACTACATACGTGCCAATGAGATGGAAAGAGACGAGAGATAAAAAGTCACGCTGCGCAATAATACAAGTAAACGACGGTAGTCAAAACTAGGTTATGAAATTGTGATCTTTAAGCATGTGAGAAGCAAATAGTCTAATCAACTTATCTCCTGGAATGATCTGGTAACTAAAGCATGAAAAATTTGCAGCATCGCAGCTAAATCCAGTTTTGAAGAAATGCTTATTAAGTTTAGTAATGTGGTCCACTATAGACCCATTATAGACTGTGATTTTTTTCTTATAGGGTTGATTTTGAATGGATCAGGTTGTCAGGAACGAGAATTTACAGTTCTTCTCAAAATCTTATTCTGCACTACCTGAAGTTTATGAAAGTGTGGCTTTGAGCCTGGCTCCCTGACTGCAGATGTGTAGCATAGAATTTGCCTTATAATGCATAGACATATCCTTCTCTTTTTATTGAGAGACAGTCCAGAATAATTTTCCTAGGAGTACAGTAAGTTGGTTAGTCATATCAACAGGTTTTTCCTAATGTGCTTAATATGACAAGTCCATGTGAGCCTTTGGTCATTGATAACCTCCACTTAGATTATTTATATGGTTCACAATTTTCTTAAATAAATAGAGGTTGTTCGATGCTATTTTCCAAATCTTGCGTCTCTTCAGCAATAGGAGCTTTGAAGCATTTATACTGATTCTCCATTTCCTGTACCAGTCTTCAACATCTAAGTCATGGAGTTTGAAGATAGCATTAGTCGGTTTGATAGAGCTCACGGCTACCGCAGTATCGTTAGCCTAGCAAGCTGACATAGACTGATCAGTTTGTAGATCAACCTCTTATGCCACTTTTATCATAAGGAGTGCCGTGTTTTTCTTATGATGGGGAGCTGCCGCGATAAATACAACCAACCTGACTAGTTACTTTGAAGTAAACGGTTGCTTCCTGAATCCGTATTTATTGGAAGGAAGTAGCTAAAGATATGAATTCATCCTTTTCTAAGATTAGACGTTCGTAAATTTTGATGATATTGGAAAGCAAACTTACAAGACGAAAATTCTCCAATTTAGTGCTGTCCTTCCCAGGCTTGTCGAGAACAAAGATCTTAGCACTTTTCCAAGGACTTGGAAAGTAACTTAGAGTCAGGCAAGCGAGTGAATTTGATCATTGGAAAGTAAATTGAATAATATGTTGTTCGTAATTCCATCATGGCCCTAGGCCATTTTAATGTCCAGCTTATGTATTATATTTTGAATTTCACTAGGAGTAGCGCAGTCAGGTATAGGGCTTGTTGGGAAGGCGCAGATCCAGGAATCAAGAAATTCTTCAACTTGCGTGATGAACTTTGGGTCCACTAGTGTCACATTAGGAGTGAGTTATTGTTCTGAATTTCAGAGAAACCTTTAACTTTGTCAACACCTGAGTACGAAGTAGTGTTCTCAGCAGTAGTAGGCTGATTACACTTATATTTGTTTTTAAGAGATCTCAGAAATTTCCAAAGGAATCCGTCATTTAGCTCTATGTCTGTAATTTTTCCCCCACTTTCAGTACGTAATTTCTTTTGTAATCATCTTGGTAACGCGATTTAACTCTGTTTTGATTTTTGCTGGATCCCATGTAAGTTGCCCATCCTATTACGTTATTGATCTAGGATGTACGATGCTGTAGTACTAGGATGTAATATAGTATGTTGAGTTGATTTTAATATTACTTTTCCCTTTCTTCTTATTTTAATTTTCCATTGTAAATGAATCCTGTGATAATCATAAATTCCTTATTCTTTGCGTTGACGGAACCAGATTGTTCCTTTTTGCTCTCCTTTTTCGATAAAACTAGACCCTTTTTTTTCGCAGTCATTTACAAGTTTTGTTGACTCTTTTTTATTGCACTATACTGCATCAAAGATTAAAATGTATTTCCATTTGTATCCTGCTAAATAATTTTCATACAGGGTTTTACAAATTGTTCTGCCATGAGACACCTGTGTCGGCAAAAGCTGTTGAACATTATGTTTTTTAGCTTTTTTAAGTTGTAATCCCTGGTTTATTATTTTATTTAATGCTGCTACAGAGTCGCCCAGTCGGTATAGTGGTTAGGGAAGCCTGTCTGTGATACCGAAAGGGCCTGGGTTCAAATTCCGGAGAATGCATGGTTGTAACTATCCCTTCCCTTCATAAGAGGTGATGGTGGCCCACCTATTAGGTTCCTCCATAGTAATTTTTATTCCAAAACATTTGCTTTTTTTTAAAATTCTTTGTCGAAATCGTTCT